CCTATGCTACTAGCACATGCAAGTTTTCCGCTCGCAGACACGATTGCCATTCCGTCTATTGTATTCGAAGACTATTTGTACACTATTATGAAGAAAGGCAATAGGGCCCCAACAAAAAGTCGGCGCTACACCCAGGAGCGCAAACATGCTTTATAAAACATGCACCATTACCTACGTCACGAAACAATTTGTACGACACATATTACTACACTCTTCTTGCTATGAACAAGCACCCTTAACAACTCTCTTTGTTCCTAATCTCCACCATGTACAGATTTGCTCGCTCCTCTCGACAAATACCCTGTATTTACAACAATGCACGACACACCAGCGGGTCTCAGACAATGATGGTGACATAATTACCCATTCCTCCCCCTTCTTGTTCTTATTTGTAACACTACGACGGAAAGGCACTCTGGTCTGAATCTGCGAGATCTTTCAGCGCGTGTGCACTGGCTCATAACGTGCATGTATCTCTCACTCTCCCTTCCCAGCTAGTGGTCTGAGGTGTGCCTTTGTGTTGTATGTTTGTGAAGGTGTTTGGAACTCACCTACAAGCGTGATTGCCCTGGTAACCAGCGTCGTAGTTGGTGAGCATTGGGCTCACGCACTAGACGCAGTGGTCGGTTTAGGGGTTCTCAAATCATATGTTCGCAAGGTTCAAGATCTCAATGATGTGGTGTCTTCCGAAGATTCGGTGTAGCTATCCAGCCATAAGGAGCAAGCAAGGTATGTGGTATATACTAACCTTCTACGTGATAATAGGTATGGTGCAGAGAATTATTTTTGCTGTGCATGCCAAAATGCATTTTATGGAAAGTGGTAACTACACCTCTCCACCTACAATGTTTCCCCCCATGATCTGTTGTCATGAAGCTTACCCACGATTTGTGCACATTTCATGTGACAGCTGGGCACCCAAAACAACTGAAGTGCAAACCCTCGGCGCATTACGCATGCGCGGTACCGCTAATTGATGGGCTGGGCTATGAGTGTGCGTTTACTTGTGGTCTCCATGCTATATAGTTGGCCGCGGAGAGTCTGACACGTGCTACTCAAGTGATACGGGAGGGCCTTCGTGGTGACTTCTTGTGCCTCCGCAATTAGGCTTCTTCACTTGTTTAGACGGGCAACCAGAGTGCCAACACCCCATGTGTATCATCCCTTGTTTTGAACACGCGATTTCACGGTTTTCGTGTCCTCATCATAATTATTATTCTTCTTATTCTTCAGACCCGCTATCTCCTTACCGGAAGCACTTGAAGCGTTGATTTATTCACAGAACGTCTCCGATTTGCCGGAGTGTGCACGCACATCAGCGATCCTTTGTTTCTTGCCGCAAGTTCTTCTGAGTTTTTATTGTTTATTTCCTGTTTATTATTGGATATTACGTAGATGTCATCTTCCTCGGTAGTCCTGACAACGCCATTTGCTGCTAACTCAGCACCAGTGAGCGCATGCGCCGAGAGGCGTTTTTCCAATGCGTTTGCGCGCGCTGCATTTGTCTGGTCCACGTACCCATAGAAAATGAAAGCACTAAAGTACAAACCCTCGGCGACTGCGCATGCGCGGTACCGCTAATTGATGGGCTGGGCCTATGTATACTAATATACGTTACTCCCTCCCGCTTAGCTCGCGAGAGTCTGAAAAGGGCTAGCTACAGTAGTAGATAGCATGCGGGAGTCGATACAACGCCCTCGTTGTGTACTTCTTGTGCCTCCGAGGTACACAGAGCAGCAGATCAGTCGCGGTGAGGTAGCTAGGTTCTAATTAGCATATTGGCTTGTTCACTTGGTTTTTCACCGCCATAACTTCTGAATGCGGCACTTTATCGCCATTTTAAATCAAGCCAGTGTAGCGCGCGCTGAACCCGTGTGGTGGTCGCTATTTTACCTGTTTGTTGCGCGTTGTGGCAGAAAAGAAAATCGGTCGTGGTAACAGACGGACGGACAGACAGACAGACAGACAGACGGACAAACCAAGTACTATAACCCTCACTGCGCATGCACGCCGAGGGTTAACTACTCTCATCCTCCAGTGCCTTCTGTAAGTCAGTGTACACATTTGTAAGTGGCTAGCTTGCATTTTGCTGTTGATTTGCACCTTGGCAATCTGCGCCGTGTTACGCGTGCCTTGCCAGGCGCCTTCATTCTTTGTCCCCCAGGTTATAGCTATGATTGTAGTCTGATTTCTGAAGCCTGCCCAATGAAACCACCACCATTAGTGCCACAACCTAATCGCATCCTTATTGGAGACACTGCGCATACACCCTACTTCAGGTAGGAGCAGTCCATTAGATTCTGACAACATACCCATGAACATCAGAGTGACTGAAAATGCAGTGTTGTCATAAGCCATTAAAAACAAGTGGAAAATCATTTCTTGAAATTTAAGGGGGATAGAGAGATGGCTTGAAGCAACAAAAAGGAAGAAACAAGGGGTCATTACACACCCCAAAGCCACATGACACCATCCCTATATCTTGTTCATAAGCAAAGTTTAATATGAGACAAAGATATAGGGATGGTGTCATGTGGCTTTGTGCATATTTGGTGTGTAATGACCCCTTGTTTCTTCCTTTTTGGTGCTTCAAGCCATCCCTATATCCCCCTTCATTTTGAAGCAATGATTTTTCTACTTGTACACAATTAACTGTTAATGCGATTTCTCGCACTACAGGCTACGAGGTGACTTATGAGCGATACCAGCAGCTTCAGGGCTACGAAAGCAAAATATTTCCCTGAAACGACTATGGCGTGAAAACAAGCGAAAAAGCTCCTTAGTTAGGCTGAGTATTACCCTAGCATCATTGAGGGCGGAATATTTTTGATTGCACACATTATGAGTATGACCAATGTTGATAGAGGTCATTATAGATGTCGATTAAGATAGTGCTGAATGCTTGTGAATCGTTAACAAATAGCATTGCAAGTCCAAAACGCACTTCTCCCAGAAGAAAGCAAGGGTGCCGAGACACTCCCCTGTGTATCTGGGACACTCCTACAACACATGACTCAACACTTTCACACTTATCATCACACAACAGACATTTTTCATCCCTTCTCCAAGTCTCCAACCACCTCTGACTGACATCGTTGACACATGCACTGTATGTTATGATCTTGCGATTTCAGTAATGTATGAACCCAGACAGAAACAATATTAGCTACAAAAAGATGGCCTCATAGCAACAGGGGCATAGAGGGAGAATGAATATCATCCAAAGAGTCTTGTCTGTGTGATTCACTTTTCTGTTATAATCTGCAATGTAGCTATCCAAGACTGAAGCTCAAGGATGATTTCTGTTACCATGTTCAAATGTCAGTTCTGACAGAGAATTTGTAGAAGTTGAGACCGAGGACAAGTTAGGAGCTGTAATAGCCATAAAACTGAGAAAGATACCTGCAGCAAGTGCAAGTCATTGAATGTGCATCACATGGTCTATTGTTACATGTGTATGCGCTGGCAGGATATGGGTGCTTTCTGGCTTCATTGCCGCGGCCCAATCCACTTTGTCAGCATTCTGAATTCGGGTTTTGGCTCGGTACTGGCAACGCCTTGTGAGGATGAATCTCATTAGTTCAGAACCACAAGCGCTGCGCCTGAGCAAAGCCTTGTGGGGATGAATCTCATTAGTTCAAAACCACAAGTGCTGCACTCAACTTTGCCTTTATAAACTCATGATGCCAGAGAGAGAAGTTGCGGTATGCTTTGCTGATGAGGGCCAACAAGCCCGAAACAGCTGTCCAGAGCTCCCATCTTTTTACTCTTGGCGTCACATGGTCTATTGTTACATGTAGGTGGCAGCCATAGCACTAGGGGTACCAACCTCATATCCAGAGCAATGATAGGAGTCACGGTGCTAGATTAACTGGTGTTGGGGGTGGTTTGAGTATTTCCAGTCATTTGATAGTCTGTTTGGTAGTGATCTGTGAGCAGATACGTTCTCTGCTGACCTTGTTGAAGGGAAGGCGGCAGTTATAAGGGCTAAATTCAGAAGTGTTACTAAAGATAGAACATAACAATAGGGGCACAGTGACAATTGAGTTTCACTGCCACATTCCCTTTATTGTGGTACCTAAGGTAAACCCAGCATCCCAGTCTAAGGTTGCATCTGGGGAACTACAGTGTGTTGCTGGTGGAGGAAGATAACAAGGGTGCCTGTGAGTGTTAGGTGAGACAGAAACCAGTTTAAGTAAGTTAATCTAGCACCACATGGCTCCTATCGTTGCTCTGTGTATGAGGTCGGTAGCCCTAGTGGCTATGGCTGCCACCTCCATGCACATTCAATGACTCACACTTGGCTATTATAGCTCCTACACCCTTGTCCTGGATGTCAGTACGATGCTAAGTCACGTACTGACGACATTCGAACCTGCTAACAGAAACCATATTTGAGCTTAAGTGAGAACTCACTTCTCCAGTCATAGATCGCGTCCAAAACAGGTTTACATACCCAGCGGCCGACGGAGGTCAGAAAATATGTGGGATTTTCTCTGAAACTGCTTCGTTGCAGAGCTAGAGCGTTTTCCTGTCCGTACGGTATGGCCATTTTAACAATGCGCATGTGTGTATACACCAAAACGCACGCGACTCCGAGGCGGCAGGCGGCCAAAGCGGAGCACGCTGATTGGGACCACGTGGCCAGCAGCCATTTTGTTTTCCCTCATTTCTCTGTGAAATTGCAGCTTGTGGTACACCGTGAAGCAAAACATCCTCTTGTGTCTGTGGTCACACGAATGGACTGTGTGTAAGACCCTGATGCTGTGTTGTTGTAAAATGTCTTGCCAATCCACAAGTTTCATGCGCGGAGAGTTTGCACTTTATTTCTTCCTTTTTGATGCTTCAAGCCATCCCTATATCCCCCTTCACTTTGAATAAATGATTCTTCCACTTGTAGACTTATAGATAGATAGGCATGTGAATGTGCAACGCAAGGAGAACTGCTATTTTAGGTTGTGCTCTAGGTACACTTGTGTGTACAAAGTACTCATATTAAACATCATAATCAATAGTACCTATACCAAAGATAATCGTGTTCATATTACTATAATTATAGCAAACAGGCTGCTCTCTAGTCACAGAGTACATTGACAAACGCATGCTGTTGTGAGTTCCTACTAGCTTTACTATAGAATCTGATGTCTCTTCCCAGAGCCTTCTCATTCGTTGCCAGTAGTAGAACACCATAGTTGGGATCTCCACTTTGCCAGTTGCGCAACGCTTCAGTGATATCAAATTCAATGAAACCTGCAGGCCTGAGACAACAAAAAATTGAGGTGATACTTATTGCCTCAGATTAATGAAAGAGTTTGTGTACCTGCTGGTGTAGATAGTAACAGGATCACACAGAAGGCCATTGGGATCAGCATCACTACCATCCAGAGCAAGCCATGGCTGATTCCATTTCTGACCAGAGGCACGAATGGTTGAGGTAGCTTGAGACTCAGACCAGCTCTGCCTCACCTGCATCAGAAGCTAAATGTATTCTGTAAAGCGTAGGTTTTTACAATACCTGATGTACTTGCAGTGGTCGAGAAATGTATGGTACTTCTGTCACTGACATAAAGCTGGCTTTGTGTGCATATGCGAAATACACATACATTTTGGCCCAGTTTACGTGTGTACAAGTGGACGGAAGATCTTCAAACTGTAACAGAGATCGTTTAAGAGGATACCGAGGGTGAGTACCAACAATAAGGTACTGATAGTTGTTGTAGTTCCTAGATCCTCTTTCAAGCCACACATCCTATAGAGAAAGAGACATAGCTACTCCATATATCACACTACTTTAGTTCGCTTGAATCACCTGGGTAACTTGCAATTTGTAAGTATTCCCAACTCCATTATCAAATGGTCCAAGAGATTCAATCCCACTTGCAAAAAGAATAAGGGCAATAACGGAACCAGCAATGTAGCACTGCATCATTGACATCTTATAGCCAAAGACGATAGATCATTAAAGGTCTGTTGCATGCCCTCAGCCTAGCCCCACTGCTTTTATACAGTGGATGAGCGCATGTGTGGGTGTTTGAAGACAGGACTGGGGGATCTACCCAAATACCCCATTCCACACGATGATATAACGTTACACACATGGGCAATACGCAATAAACAGTAATATGGTTACCCTACACACATACAGATCATATCTAGAACCTACACAGTATATACATACATATTAATGCACAGTAATTAAGGTACAGCAAACCACACAGGTTACACAGAGAACACATTTATGGATACCCAAGCATACATAGAAAGTACACAGTTTAGCACAACAGTTCAACTTTCACATTCCTTCCCCCTTCCCCCGGCATTGTACTTGTTCAATGCGACTCACCAAGTGCGGGAGAGGGCATCAGCGTTACCGTTACTCTGTGTCAGCCCTTGGCTGGAGTTCTTGCAATTCGTCACGACTTGCCCCTCCTGGCCGCAGCCTAACTGGACTGTTGTCTTGGCCCCCTTTTGCCACAGGAGGTTTGGGTTTCCTGGCCAACACGTAGTCGTCTGCCATTCTGCCGGCCTCAAGGCCGGTGGTGGGCTTCTTCTCGCTTAACCACACCCTGAGGTCTGCCGGCACTGTGTCAAGTAGCTGTTCAATAAGGAGTTTCTCAGTCACACTGTCGCAGTCGGCGGTCCACTTGCGAAAGAGGTCTGCCACAAACTCGATATAGGCCTTGTTGTCCCTCCTCCTTGCAGACCGCAATCTCTGACGATAAGTCTCTTCGTTCACGTCATAACGACGGAGGATCACCTTCTTGATCTCTATGTAGGAACTGGCTTCTGTCGCTGACATCGCTGCATAAGCTTTGCGGAGCCAGTCACCAACCGCTCGCGCGGCACCGCGTAGAGGGTCATGAGTCGCTCGAACGTAGTTAGAAATGCCTCTACATCCTCGTTCTCCCCCATCTTGGTCAGGATAATCTTGTCTCTCGGTGGTGCAAATGTCGTGTCGGGTTTTGCTGTAGTCTGCTCCACCAGGGCCTTCAGGACACCCAGCTGCTCGGTCATCCTCTTCTCCTGCTCGTGACTCTCTCCCTCTCGCGTCGTGCCCTTTCCTCTGCTAGCTCGTCATCCCATCTGCGTCGGTCTTCAAGGAGTAGCTTCAGGAGTTCAGCCACCCCTATGTCGCCTCGGCCTTCCGCGTCGCTTGTCTCCGCGCCCCCAGCTTCGCCATCACCTGTGGACATGGCGGTCGTGTCCTCTCTCCGGTACGCCATCCCTGATCTTGTCGTCATCCACTGTTGTCGGCAGAGTATCCCACCCCTGCCACCAAATGTGACGCTCTACGATCGGATGGCGAGAGAAGATCATTCCAGCCGGGTGGAGGAGTTTTCGTTCTCCTTCCCACCTCCACATCCAAACTCACAGCCCAGTGGCAGGGACCCTACCAAGTGGTAAAGGCCATCGGGAAAGTCAACTATCGAGTGCGTATGCCGGGACGGCGGAAGAAGACAAGGATCTTCCACGTGAACATGCTCCAGAAGTGGAATGCCCCAGTATGCAGTGGGTTTTGTAACGAGCTCCTTTGGCTCGTGGAAGTCTATCCGGCGCTTGCAGCTTGGCCAAGAGGTGTATTAGGTTGATCAGCAATGGCGACTACAAAATCACACGAGGGCCCACACATACACACGTGACCCTCACGCATGCGTCTGTATATATAGTGATGTAACACAACAGATACGTACTATATACACTGGTAATACAACGCATCTCTCGTTACATCTCCTTTCTTATAACAAAGCATACACAGTAGTATGTCACACATGTATGTTTCATGAACGCACATACGGTGTGATCCAGTCCGGGGGCCTTCGTGCCCTTGTTCATCGGCGGAGTTGAGGCTGGGGACTTTCGCCGCCGGGGTTTTGGGGATCTTCGTCAGTCTCCGGTTCTGGCTCGACTACAGGCTCTGGCTCTGGCACATTTCCATTGGTCTGGGGGGTTGGCTGACCCTCTTCGGCGCCTTGTCGCGGCAGCTCCAGTGAGGGTAGTTCTGGCACCTGTGGTTCATCCCTTCTAATAAGATGCCGCCTATTTCGACGATACTCTGTCTCCCCCACTCGGACTAAATAGCCTTGGAAGCCGGTTCAACTTCCCGCAGTCCAACACTTTTCCCCAGGGAGCCGCAGTTTCACTGTTTCTCCGACCGATATCGGAGGCAAGTCACATGCCTTGCGATTGTAGTAGTGTGCTTGCTTTGCTCTTTTCTTCAGTGCTCTGGCATCGGCCGTGGTGTCGTATGCCGGTTTCAGAAGTGTCTCAGTCATGGGTAGCAGTGTCCGGCACCTCCTACCAAAGAAACGCTGGGCAGGGTTTGATCCCAAGCTCTCTGTTGGCGTGTTCCACCAATCTAGCAGTGCCTGATACTCTGACTGTCGCGTTTCTTTGCATTTTTTGAACAGACGCTTTATGGTTTTGACGGCGTTCTCTGCCCTACCGTTAGACTGGGGGTAGTGTGGGGAGGATGTGACACCCCATTTGCTGGCGAAGGACACAAACTCAGCGGAGGCAAATTGTGGCCCATTATCGGTCACGAGAACGTCTGGGACCCCATATCTGGCAAACAGGATTTTCAGGGCTTTGCTGACTTCGCCGGTCGTCGTAGAGTGCAGCCGTTCTACTTCTAAGAAGCCACTGAAGTAGTCGCAGACAACCAGCAGCGTTCTGCCATTCAAGTCACAGAGGTCAGCGCCCACCTTAGCCCATGGTCGGGCTATGATCTCGCGGGCGCTATTTTCTTATCGTCTCCCTCGTTCTCGAAGTCTACCGGGCGCTTGCAGCTTGGGCAAGAGGTGTATTAGGTTGATCAGCAATGGCGACTACAAAATCACACGAGGGCCCACACATACACACGTGACCCTCACGCATGCATCTGTATTATAATTATAGTGATGTAACACAACAGATACATACTACACTGGTGATACAACACGTCATCTCTCGTTACAAGTTTCTTAGTGGGGACGTAGCAGAGGTGGTGGAGGGGGAGATACCCAGCTGGAAGGACGACTGGCAAGGTGAGGCTCAGGTTGGCTCCCAGCTGAGTGGTGCCCAACAACAAGAGCTGGTGGATTTACTGGGGAAGTTTCAGGCAGTCTTTCAAACACTCCCAAGGAGTACCCGGCTCTAGCAGAGCATCGTATACAGACAGAGGACCATGGGACACCAGTGCGTCTACCCCCATACCGGATCCCTCATGCCTATCGGGAGGCAGTTCGGGAGGAGCTGAGAAATATGCTCAAACACGGTGTCATTGAGCGTTCGTGTAGTGATTGGGCATCCCCCCTGGTAACAGTGCGCAAGAAGGATGGTAGCCTAAGACTGTGTGTTGACTACAGGAGGCTCAATGGGCTGTCCAGGGCGGATGCCTACCCTATTCCCCGAGTGGACGACCTCATAGACAGGGTAGGGCAGGCCAGGTTTATCAGCACACTAGACCTTACAAAGGGATACTGGCAGGTGCCAGTAGCGAGATGTGATTGAGAGAAGACCGCTCTTTGAATTTTCACGAATGCCCTTTGGGTTACATGGTGCACCCGCCACCTTTCAGCGTATGGTCGACAGGCTGCTGGATGGACTTGAACATTGTTTCGCTGATTACATTGATGATGTTATCATCTTCAGTCACAGCTGGCCTGATCACCTACGGAACTTGGAGGAGGTCCTTGAACGAATCAGAGGAGCCGGCCTAACAGTCAAGAGGAAGAAATGCCAATTTGGGATGAGCGAGTGTCTGTATCTGGGCCACCTTGTTGGTAGTGGTAGAGTCCGGCCCGAGCAAGTGAAGGTGCAGGCAGTACGAGCGTTCAAGGAGCCCAAGACTAAGACCCATGTTCGAGCTTTCCTGGGACTGACAGGGTATTATCGGAAGTTTATACCCCAGTATGCTACGCTGGCGGCACCGCTGGCAGACATCACATGGAAGGCTGCTCCTGTTTCTGTGGTGTGTACACCTGCTTGTGAAGAGGCCTTTGGCAAGTTGAAAGAAGCCTTGTGTTCGTCACCAGTGCAGGCCAGTCCCCAGCTTGACAAGGAGTTTACGTTGCAGACAGACGCCTCGGAGCGAGGGGTCGGGGCAGTTGTTAGTCAGGTTGGCGATGGCGGGCTAGATCATCAGTAGCCTATTTTAGTCGGAAACTCCTCCCACGGGAGGAGAGGTACCCTACTATTGAGAAAGAATGCTTGGCCATAAAACTGGGGGTCCAGGCTTTCCATGTGTGTTTGATGGGTCGCCCCTTTCTGATCCAGACCGATCACCGTTCGCTGGAGTGGCTGAACCGGCTGAAAGATACAAACGCGGGGATCACACGGTGGAGCCTTTCTCTGCAAGGTCAGAGTAACAGTATTGCTGATGCCCTCTCCCGCACGTGGTGAGTCGCATTGAACAAGTACAATGCCGGGGGAAGGGGGAAGGAATGTGACAGTTGAACTCTTACAAGTGGAAAAATCATTTCTTCAAAATGAAAGGGATATAGGGATGGCTTGAAGCACCAAAAAGGAAGAAACAGGGGGTCATTACACAGCAAAGATGCACAAAGCTACATGACACCATCCCTATATCTTTGTCTCATATTAAACTTTAAACTTTGCTTATAAACAATAAAACAAAGATATAGGGATGGTGTCATGTAGCTTTGTGCATCTTTGCTGTGTAATGACCCCTTGTTTCTTCCTTTTTGGTGCTTCAAGCCATCCCTATATCCCCCTTCATTTTGAAGAAATGATTTTCCCACTTGTTTCCACTATTTTAACAGCTAATGACAACACTGCATTTTATTGTTACAGTCACTCTGATGTTCATGGGTATGTTGTAGATATGCTACCACTAGCCCACAATAGTTAACAGACATTCAGTTATTGAGAAAAAGTGCAGGATTTTTCTGTAGCCAAGTCTCTCTCCCTTGCCTCCCACAATGCACATCCACACAAGTCACCAATCTCTCCCGACTCCCACTCTGGTACAAACTCTAACTGTTGAAAGCAGTAGCTAATGGGCTGCTAGTGCCTGAAGCAAGGGCTAGATACCGCATGCATAGTCTTCAACAAGGATGTAATTAGGTTATTGCACATGGTTGTGGTTTCATGGGCAGGCTTTAGTAATCAGGCTACAACCTGGGGGGGACAAACAACGAAGGGCGATTTGAGCGCCCCGCTCGCGTAACACCGCGCAGACTCTGCCAAGTTGCTCCTCGTGCAAATCAACAGCAAGCTAGCCAGTTGGAAATGTGCACACTTACTTACAGAAGGCACTGGAGGAGGCTGAGAGTTCCTCTGCAGGTCAGTCAACTCGCCTAGCCTGGTAATACGCGCGCACAGCGCATTGGACAACATCCCTGCCTAGCGCATGCGCGCGTATGGCACGCCGTTCGTAACAAAAATTAAATATGTATCCTCTATAGGTAATAAGTATTTCCTATAGGTGATGGGGCCTATTTGGGGCCTATTTGCTATAGATAATGGGGCCTATTTGCTATACGGCCTAACGCTAATAAGCTATAGCCATGGAGCCCATTTACTATAGCTAATGAGGCCTATTTGCTATACGACCTAAACGCCAATAAGCTACAGCTACGGCCCCATTTTCACCGCGTTTGTGTCAGCGCATGCGACTATAGTTAATTTAGCGCATGCGACTGCAGTTGACCTTTGAACCATTGCAGTTGTGACCTACAGGACTGTTACAGGACGCCTACACTGCTATAGGACGCCTACACTGCTACGGGCGATGTCCTCATTAGCTATAGTAAATGGGCTCCATGGCTATAGCTTATTAGCGTTAGGCCGTATAGCAAATAGGCCCCATTATCTATAGGAAATACTTATTACCTATAGAGGATACATATTAAACGCATTTCTTACACATCACGCACGGCATTCACCGCGTAATATTAACGCATTAGCGAAGCGGGAGGCTACCAAATGAAGTTTATACCGGCAAAATATCTCTCAAAAAGAGGTGGAAATAAGCAGACCAACGTCTCAGATCAGTTTGACACTCTTGGGAGCCACGTAATCAGCATTTGCGTTTGTTAAGCATTAGGGAAACGGTGACAATACCAGTAATTTACTACTAGCACAGTCATTCTCCGAAAGAGGTAGAAAGGAGAAGAGCTACGTCTCTGATTAGTTTCATACTCTTGAGAACGACTTACCCAAGGCGTCTCGCATTTGCGTTTGCTAACGCGTTTGCGAAACGGCAGCCTAGCAATAACTCGGTGACGCCTCCTTTAGCGCACTTATAGTCGCGCACACGTGGTGTCGCCTCCATGTCTTTCAAAAGAAGGGATTGCTGTTTATACTGTTTTTGATTAGTTTTCCGCCGTTCTTGTCGGAAAGCTTTCATCTGCCAGCGAAAAGAGCGACCGACTTCTTCCAGAGTATAAAGAGTCCTCAGTGCAACGCTCACAGAATCCCAAATTTTTGTTGCATGCCGCCTGCTTACTTAGCCTCTCGGCAATTTTATTTTCTGATGTAACTTGGAGAAGTGCGTTTTGGACTTGCAATGCTATTTGTTTTGCACAAGCATTCAGCACTATCTTAATCGACATCTGTAATGACCTCTATAAACATTGGTCATACTCTGAAGCTTGTTTCACGCCATATCTCTGGAACGCAGTCGTTTCAGGAAAATCTTTTGTATTTCATGCTTTCGTAGCCCTGAAGCTGCTAGTATTGCTCATAAGTCACCTCGTAGCCTGTAGTGCGAGAAATCGCGTTAACAGACAAATAATAATTGTGTATTATGGCTGTGCAACAAATGCCTGTAGCTACCATTATGGAATCCCTAGATTCAACATATACTGCTATAATCTACAAAACAAACCTAGCTATATTATATATAATGAAAGATATAGCTACTGAATTGGCAAATATCTAACTGGGTCTACTTTGGTGTGGTACAGTTCAAAACAAGGGATGATACACATGGGGTGTTGGCACTGGTTGCACATAAAGCTTGTCGTTTTCCGCCCGTGACCTCTCTTCTTGCTGCACACCACGCACACTTTTTGTCCCCTCCTTCCAGACGGTGTGCAGGGGAGATGGCTGGGGAAGTGTCGCTCTGTGAGTCGTGCCTGCGGAGGCAGCGGACGCTGAAGCCTACCATGACACGCGGACATATCATCAGCAACGTTTACTGAAGCCTGAAGGAGTAGCTCCTTGGCTAGCTCAATGCGAAACTGCTCGTGGGTCAATTTCCTGCCAGTGTGCAGCGATGAGTAAAGCACATAGGAATTGACAATGGCCATGTCTAACAGGTGAAAAGCTGCCCTTCTCCACCACTTCACAGTTCTGTGTGAGAAACCATAGTAGGAGAGGAGCTGGTCTGAGCGATCCACCCCACCCATGAACTGGTTGTACTGATCCACAGCGACTGGTTTCCTGATCTCCTCCCTCTCTCCCCCCCTGCGACGCTTTCGACGAACCTTGGTGGTCATTGAGTTGTCGTGAATTGTTGTCAGCATCAATACTGGCCTCTTGTCCATCCACTTGAGTGCCATCATGGACCTGTCCACATTAGCCGAGATTACAGCTCCTTTCTCTAGGGTTGCCTTCATTTCAATAGGTAGCCCACGTTTATTGGCCCTGACTGTGCCACAGGCTCCAAATCCCCGGTCTCGTAGGTCGGAAAAAAGAGCTGGGCTTGTGTAGTAGTTGTCCACATAGACATGATGTCCCCTGCGCTCCAAACCTTTTAGTAGATCTAGAACTACCGCATGCGGGTAACTCTGTTCTCCCAGTGGCAAAGTTTTGTCTTTTCCTGCGTCAAACAACACATGGTGAGTTTAAGGTCTATATAGATTTATGGTGTTAGATATGCATACCTGTATACAATTTCCAGTTGTAAACATAGCCATTGGAGCTGTCAGCTAAGACGAAAGCCTTCATCCCCCACTTGGTGGGCTTCCTGGGCAGGTACTGCAGGAAGGACAGCCTCCCTTTGAAGCCAACCATTGCCTCGTCGACTGACAGCTCTCGGTTGAGAGTATAGGCAGCCTGGAAGTTGCCAATGAGGGGATCGAGGAGGGGGCGGAGCTTGTATAGGGGATCATGACCTGGCTGTCCCTTGGGAATGTAGTGAGCGTTGTTGTTGAGGTGAAAAAATTTGAGAATGAGGGTGAATCTGTCTCGTTTCAGGACCTGAGTGGGTTGAGTTACATCAGTATGGGGTGTGCTATATTCTTTAGCAACCCTAGCAGTTATTGCACTATTTCACTAGCGCACCCTTTCAGCAAACCATTCTGGGGACAGTTATCATAGCTATCACATTGTAATTGTGACAAAATTATTCATGGAAATGCTGTGTCACTGTTAACACCACATAATAAAGCCAACCCCATGCTTAGCTATGTCACGCCTGCAAAGTAATTCCCAGTTGGGTTACTCCCTCAAGACAATGCAGTGTGTGTGGCATTATTCAGCAATCCTAGGTGTGGTCTACCAGCTATCTCATTGTATGTTCTTTAGCAACCCTAGGAGTTATGATTATCGTACTATTTCGCTAGTGCACTGTTTCAGCAAACCGTTCTGGGGACAAAGATCATAGCGTATGACATTGCAATTGTGACAAAATTGTTCATGGTAATTCTGTGTCACGGTTAACAAGACCTAATAAAGCTAACCCCGTGCTTAGCAATGCCAGCTATGCAAGATGACTCCCAGTTGAATTACTCCCTCTAAGACAAAAATGCAAAGCACCCGTGCAACTGACACTCTCCATTGCACACTGCTTGCATACCTTGGAGCATGTCTGACTCGAGTAAGGCCACGTTGTCACCCAGTGGTCTTCAAGAGTTGGAAGGTTTACGAGGCCCATCACAATGATTAACGAAATAAACTTCTGCAGCTCTTCCCGTGTGAATGGTTCACGAGACCAACCGTGCACTCTCGAATGAGGAAGGACAGGATGACTGGTGGTGTATTGATCAGCATACAGAATTGTCTGTTTGACAATCTGGTCAAGGATGTCATCTGTTAGCAACATGTTATAGATTTCCAGTGGAGTTACTGCATCACTGCACTGATGATTGATACCAGGCAACTGAGAATACTCTGGTATCCCCCTCACTTCACACTCCTTGCCAACGTCCAATTCTGCAGTGCTCTCGACATCCTTGGTTTCTTTGCATTGTGGTTCACCGTCAGTATTGTCCACATATCCCTCAAACTCGTCATCACTCCATTCCTCTTCATCGACAGCTGGTCCTGGAATCTCCGCCATGTAGTCTGTGCGTAAAATGTTGCAGATAATTGAAAAGCCGTGCTGGCGCGGCCGTGAGAACTGCGCGCGCATTTCAATTGGCGTTGACGACCGGGGGTGCCGCATCTAAACTCTGGGGCTATTTACGTATAACCGGATTGAATCTGCGGGGACGCCGTAAAAACTGAGCGTAAGTATGCTCTTGCAGATAGCTAGCCATGTCGCTTTCTTCGAGTAGGGTCTGGGTTTATGATAATATTATTATACACTTTCATGCAGGTTACGTATAATATTTACGCAGAGCTGGTGAGGAATGTATGTGCATTTCAGACATTCGTATTCATGACGAGTGAGTGGGTGTGTAACTAGGTGACCAGGACGAGCACCCAATAAAGACACGGTCGACAAAACTAGAAACTTAAAAGTGTTGCTATCATCGGTAAGCAACAATTCATATGTAGTATGAGCTCTCCTCATCAGCCTCGGGCGTCTCGTAATTTTCGTCATTCTCCGGACCTTGTTTTTCAGGCGTGGCCAAACGTGCCATTTCTTCATAGATAGGGCTGGGTAGTTCTCCTTGGCTTCTGATAGAGTCGACCAGTTTTTCCGAAGTGGTGATGGTCTCGTAGTCGTGTGTAAGCATCGGTTCATACTCAGTTTGGGACTGATGTATTTCTTGATGTAGGAGTGGGGAGCTATCGTCTTGGTGGGCTTCTTCAATAGGTGATGGTAACACTGCAGCAGGGACATAATCGGAATGATATTCACTCTCTTCTTTTGTATTAGTAAGATCTGGTGTAGATGTCTTTGAAAGCTTGTTTCTGCAAGTGTAAGAGATTTCATACTCATAAATTTCTAAGTATGGTAGTACTTAATATACTAATTATATAGGGATGACACTGCAGGTTGTCCTGCATTATGCCCATACATTTGAGATTTGTCCGTTTCACTTTCAGTTTAACTAACTTCTGACATATCAGTGTGATCCGTATCGTCAAAAAAGCATGTACCCAAGGAATGGCTTAAATCGCATACTCAATAATTGATTTATTCAAGAAAGACAGTTTTCAAAATTATTCTTCTGGTTGTTTTCTCAAAAACCAGGTAAGATATGGAAATGAAACTTTGCACAGATATTGGAATCCATGACAGATTGTTTACATGTAAACAACAAAAACAACAAAAATAGCCCCAAGCCATACATTATGAAAAAGACCAATAAAGTGTGATAACTAGTTAATGACAATACCCAGAATGGTAAAACTTTGTATACATATGCAACTGCAAACATTACAAGTTTGTAAACAACAACAGCAGCCTCATGTAATAAAAACTTGTAAAAGGTCTTTGTGCCTGTAACTTTCTTATTTCGGGTCCTCTAACAATGAAACTTACAGCTTCAGGCAATAAAAACTTGTAAATGATGTTAACTACTTGCTTACGGTGGGTCGTCTAACAATGAAACTTGGTATACTGGCGTACCATGACAACATTTTATCGATCAACAAAAAACAGCCTCAGGCAATAAAAACTTGTAAATGGTGTGCCTATAACTTGCTTATGCTGGGTCCATTAACAATGAAACTGGTACCCTTATGTACTTTAGGGGTGAAAGAATTATGGGAACTATGACAAACTGAGACACTAAACACAAAGGCCCTTGATGCTACTTTATATATTGGCATTATGTCCCAAAATTTGTATTGCACACCGTGCATGTGATTGGGGTAAAAAAAGGGAAAGGAGACAAGCAAATAAAACTTCTTTGAATTAAAAAGTGTGGGGTATAGGGATGCCATAAAAAGCAAGGAGACAAGACAGGGGTGACCTAGTGATCGTGATGCAGTAGTACAATGGATGATGGTTACATCTTCAAACTGACCTTTTTTGCTCGTGTAATTTTTCCTCCACACAAGCCCTATATTGTCGTGAAGCATGAGTCTGATCTCCATTGTGTGATGTGCAGCTATGACCTATTTCTTAAGCATGTGATGAGACAGGTAGCTAGCTAGCTCTGACAGATCCTCAGATTTGAGTCGTGGCTGTCTATGACTTCCATGTTCGCTCAACTAACCAGTTTTACAATGTGTTCTTGGCCCTCTACAGAATTTTTCCCTCCCGCTCTTTATCATTTAAGACACTCGTGTGGAAGTGGCGACAATATAAGGCTTGTGTGGAGGAAAATCTACACAAGCAAGAAATGTCAGTTTGAAGATCTAGCTAACCATCATCCATTGTACTACTGCGTCACATTGCTACACTAGGTCATTCCCTGTCTTGCCTCCTTGCTTTTTATGGCATCCCTATACTCCACACTTTTAATTCGAGGACTTCTGTGCATCTACAGCAGCAAAAGTATTATTGTATATACCTCTCTCTATAACGGCATATTGCTGCTACAGTGACAAATATGACCAGAAAAGCAAGGATAGCCGAGCTTCCAATAATGACCATCACAGCAGCATCAGAATAGCGTCCAGATTTCTCATCAAAAGCAGGTTTATTGCTATTTGGAACCACCTTCAGCAGCATACCCCTGACTACTACAGTTGGCTCAGTGGCTATCCATTGTGCTAGATCATACATTAGAGCAGAACTGTCCCTCTCTCTAGTGCTTATCATCCTGCCTGCGAGGTAGAGACGGTTCATGTTGCATGATAGGTTTACATCTCCAATGTAGTTGCTGGGGAAATTGCACTGGCAGATTAGTTCAATCCCTCTGCTTATTTCACGTGTTATATCCTCCACTGTCTCTTCCAGTTTATTAACCTACACGAAGGATACACTAGACAGTTTTTTACTAGGTGTTTAATTTATCAACTCACGATCAAATCAGTACAGTTGTCTGTATCCAGTTTCAGTGAAAATTCAATATTACTTGACCCTGTAATAAAGGCACTTATTATAAAATGATAGTATAATTATACTTACACGGAATGAGAGTGTATGAGAAAGGTCCAACCCCGGGACTGGTCCTCCCAGCTACCCACACACAGTACTGGAGTCCCGGGTGTAAACCAGTCACTTCAAACATCTCCTGGTCCACAGACACGGTGACATTGGATGTGGAGTCACTAGGGGGACACTGGCCAGATCTCACACTCTGGTAGCCAATCTCATAGGACACCAGCCACCCTCTCAGGTCCTCCCAGCTCATCTCATCCCACTCCACACTACCAGTGGTCGGCTGAGTTACGAGTCATTGTTATGTTTTGGGGAGAGCTCTGGGGAGCTGGGATGAAAACTCTAAAGCGTTCCCAATTACACTGATTTGCAAACTTACTGCCCTCCCTGGAGTAAGCGACAACATGAGAAGCATCACTAGACCCAAATCAGTGACCACACGCACACATATGTCATACCTGACATAAGCAACTACATACAAGGAATAGAACACACTGTAGCTACAATGCTGATGCAGTTTTATGCTGCAGTCTGATTTGGGGTGTAATCAAGAATGCACAAGAGCATACATTAATGTATCAACTCACCTATTCCATCACAAATAGTTGTATTATAGCATCTTTGGAAATGTTGTAAGTCTTTTTCAGTAAAGTTAATGAGGTTGGTGACTATCAGTTCGTAGTTGGCAATGGCTCCGTTCGGAGAGGATGGAGGACCCCATGATACACCGAGCATCTTGTCACTCAGTGCAACAACCTCCAGATTCTCTACTGCTCCTGAAACAATGCGGAGTGGGAGTGTTCTTCCATGTGTGGCTATTTTATACTTCAATTTACAACTCACGATAGAATTTAAAATTCACGACAGTAGCCCTTTCCAGTTCAAAGGCTAAAGCTATGGCTAGTAAAAGATTAGGATTTGCTGCCATTTTGACAGTGCACCAAAACAAGAAACAAATGTTTCCTGACACAATAATTTATATAATTTAACCTACAGCAAACATCCACTCACGACCCTTAGAACCTAGCTAGCTACCTGGCTATAACTACCTGTTCTTAGTGTTGTTTGAGATGTACAGGCTAGTCTTGATGGTCCAGAGGTTGTATTAGCAGCTACACAGCAGTTGTAAGTAGTGTATGGAGTCAGTGACTCGAGCTGCATGACCAAATTGCTTGAAGCATTAACAAAATGGGCTTCGTTTCGGAAGAAGACAATGTATAAAGTGGCGAACTGGCGGTGTATGTTGTGTGGAGGTGGCTCCCAACGGAACTCTAGTCTGTCTGATCCAGTTGCTGTTAGAGTAACATTTTGTGGCGGCTCTGAGAAAAAGACCCCGAATATAATAAACCAGGAAAGAGATAAGTATACGGAAAGTATGTTTCTATACCTATGCAGTCATTGCTGGACCATTCAGCAGGACAAACACATGTGTATGGTGCCAGACAAAGATGCGACTCAGCACACTCTGTACATATTGCTGTATCATATACATTTGGGGAGATTTACAGTTGCATTTGTATCCATTTTGAAACATACGTGAACACTGTTCTGCATTGCCTATGTATCCTTCACAGCATTTGTTTTCAATGTAGTATACAGTGTATGAACGATATACAGGTTGTTGATAGTAATGTCGCCTAAGTAGAAATTGTTAGTTAATATAGCATTTCAATGGTCATTAAGTTCAATACCTGTAACATGTGGAGATGAAATAGCAAGAGTAGGATGATAAGCGAGTGTATATAACGTATGTCTGTCGTGTCTCTTCCTTTGCTACAGCATATGAGCAGACCCTGCAAAAGCAAGCGAGCAGTGAACAAAGAACCTGATTCAATTCTTACCTTTCTTGACTAATAGCAAACTGAATGCCAACCAAGCATGATAGAACCAGTAACAAACAGCTTGTGCTGCCCACATGTGGCATGTTCCAAGTAATCTTACATTCAGTCCCTCGGTGCTGGTCTCAAATAGCCTCTGAAAATGGCGACTATACTGAAGGAATTTCGCTATTCTGTGCTCCAGACTGACTCTGAAAGGCTTGCACACTGAGTTTAAACTTGGGAATTGGTGTAATGTGCTGTCAAGCTAGCAGGATTGTTACTGCTAACTAGGATTCACTTTCATTAACCCTCTGCGCGCATGCGCAGCGAGGGTTATGCTCGTCGTGTGTCTGTCAGTCCGCGAGCTATCTCACTTCAATCACTCCACAAACAATACCACGTATTCAGCGTCGAATAAAGGTCGAATTAAATGTAGGGTTTTCTCTGAAACTGCTGCGTTCTGGAGTTACGGCGTGAAACACGAGAGAAAAACCCATTATGCCGGGCTTACTTCGAGCGGGTCAGTTCGCTCTGTATATAACTGGAAGGCACAACGAAGGGCCCCCTGCATGCTATCTACTACTGTAGCTAGCTCGTGTCAGACTCTCCGCGAGCTACTAGCGGGAGACTACGAATAAACGCGTATATATACTCAGAGCCCAGTCCCATCAATTAGCGGTACCGCGCATGCGCAGTTCGCCGAGGGTTTGCCATTTTCATATTTAGCCGGCTAGCCGTACAGGATCATGGCTAGCATGCTGTAGAAGATAGAAGCTCATTATGGGTGTCGGTTCTATGCACATGAATGCAAGACACAATGAAGCTAGTGATGACACTTTGTCTCTCCGCACCTCGGGAAGAGAGCGCATGCGCGCTAAACGTGCACGTCGGGGCGTGGTGAACTGCGGATCCCGGTCATCATGGAAGGTGAAAGCCCTAGCAGCAAAAAGCTCAAGACTGAGGTAAGAAAATCCAATGAGGTACATTCTATTATATCAGTGGGATGCATAGCGACCTCAGTTTCGTCCTGAAGACCATGGACTAGAGAAAGATTTCCGACTAACCAGTTTCACCAAGGTGTGTGTTTCTTTTCTAGCTATAGGATGCTGCCAGTCACTTGTTGTTTTGTAAAAAAGAGACTATTCATGAACTAATATTAATGGAGACCTGTGAATAAATTGTTTTTATCCACTGTGACTCAATTTTCAGGCTAGAGACTGCTCTCGAACACTGGACCAATTTTAGAGTCAACGAATGTAACCGTAGTAGAGCATGACCTTTGAACAATATTTTGTGAGTGTCAATGCGTTCCTACCCACCTCATGGGCCGTACTTTATATAATTTTGTGTGGATGCAAATACCTGCCGACTAGCTTTGGATAATCATCCCGTCATCTTTGTCTCTAATCTCAGTTGAAGGGATGATGCTGCAAGGTCCCCCAGGAGGAGGTGAGCCACCTGTTAGCTTCATATACTCATGTCATTATCCTATCGTTGTGTATGTGCCCCTCTGTTATAGCTGCAGAAACTCCTGGCGGGTGAGTGCTTTAGCATGAATTTCTGCTTTATGCATGTCTCAACAACTTGGTAACGAGGTAGAAAGGCAAGGCAAGGCAAGGCAAACAAGTCAACTACACCTAGGACAGCTCTTTATTTTCGAATAAAAGAAGAAGAGCTGCCCTGGGTGGGATTCGAACCGGCGACACTCTGCAGTCTAGGCAAGCGCTCTACCAACTGAGCTACCAGGGCAACTCAGCTGGTAGGAGTTCGCAACACAACACAACACAACACGAGGCAAACCTCAAACCACTGTGCTATGGCACAGTATACTCTCACTCAGTATGTATATAGACACATCGAACATTAATGTGTGCTTAATTATTAATTTGTCTATGCAGAATAGCCTGTATTAGTGATAAATATATAGTATTGAACCTTCCCCCACTCATGTATTGGTTGTGGTCTGATTGATAAAGACTCACACACTAGATCCTGAGATAAGTTGTTCGATGAGGGGTATGAGGTGTTTTTTTTATGATGTAATGTGAATGTTGATATAAGAGGAACGATTTTTCATTAGCTCTCCTGGCCAGCCCAAGTGGCTAAGTGGTAGAAACCTGGGGACTGTCAGCATAATGTGCCCGGTTCGAATCCTGGACCCACACTGAAACTGTCAGCATTGGCTGGGAACAGCTCTGGTTACTCCCCTTACCCATGATCACTTACCCACATACATCTCAAAGGACAGCATATAGTTTGGCATTGCACTGTGTCCATAGACGTCTGTACTGAGAGATGTAGGGTGGTATTTTTCGGATGTATTTTTTCGTCTAAAACAATCCATGATAAGTTTAAATGGTGCAAGACATTCCCTCTCAACGTAACTCTTTCAGATACCATTTTTGTCAACCATAGATTTATGATTTTTGCCCATGGAAAAGATAAAATGGTGCAAAAATATAGTTTTCTTTTTTTAATGCATGGCCAGTATTGTTTTTGCATAATATGTAAAAAGCCTGTTAACAGCTCTTTCGGATTTTGCCCATTACCATTTTTGGTACGCAGATTGCCCTATGCCCATTCTGCTTTTGTAAAAAAAATAGCGCCACGCTACTCTTTATATCGAGTTTGTGTGTAATGTAGACTTTAGTGATGAAGACTATCCACTTTCAAGTGCTTCCATTAACCCTCGGCGGACATACCCAGCGAAGGGCTTAAGTATCATTGAGCGGTACCGCACAGTATAAGTTTGACATTTCTAGTGCGCCGAGGGTGTGCACTTTAGTGTTTGTCTGTGTTAACAGGACTCTCGGGGCCAGAGGAGGGGCTGGGGGCAGGGCTGGACAGCTGTGTTCTACCAACAAGATATGAGGGGATCTCCATTGTACAAACCACAGACTTGTATCCTCTCACTCCCTCTCAGTCACACTGCATGAGAATCCTCTCCAACCTTCCCTTTAGTGTTATTGTAAGAGCATGGAAGTAATAGTCCATCCCTTCATAGTCAATAGTTAGGCAATGTATGACATTGGAGTGACACACAGATGAATGATGTTGTGTGTGAGCAGCCCCTCCCCATGTTGGTTGTAAAATGTGTCGTTCCTGAACATGGTGCAGTTTCTACCCATTAGTTGAAGATCCATACATGCAGGTAACTATGACTATCTACCTCAAAGGAAATGGCTACAACAGGGAAGGGACATGTTACAAGGCTTTTGCACATTATTTAAATGGCAAAAATATTTTCTCTGTGCATGTTTCTTGCGGTCTGCAAATCTCAGGAATGGTGTTCAGTTTTAGGGTGTAATTTTATGAAAGACAAGATACAAAAACTGATGGATTTACACATTTGAATTATCTGTTCTGTTCTCCATAGGGCAAGATAGCATGTGCCAATGTGCTGAGTGACCTGTATGCGATGGGGGTGTCAGAGTGTGACAACATGTTGATGCTGCTGGGGATCAGTGAGAACTTCACCTACACACAGCGGCAGGTGGTCACTCCCATGATGATTCAGGGATTCACTGGTATTTATTCACCTGTTGACTTGGGATCACAGACTACCATTGTAAAATATTTACTGTCTTCTAGCTATCAGTATAGCCTACATTTCTGCTGTTTAATAAAATTATTCTGAAGATGGTGTCACCTAGCCTCATGCACAGGCTTTCTCGCTATGAGCGCACTGATTTCGTTGTATGACTTTCACCCACCTTTCTTATTTTTTCGAGGTCATCGCAACAATAATAATTGCAGGGGTTGGGGACAAGACTAGGTGCCACCTTCATTTATGTAGTATACGGTATATTATACATGTATGCAAATGTCTGCCATGTTTCTTGTTCGGTTCGGATTACTAAACTGTCATGGTGATTGCAACTTACTGTATAGTGCTGTAAAATGCTGGCTAAAGTCGTCACTCCACATTATATACTCAGATCTGTGTGCTGAGGCTGGTACCAGTGTGAACGGAGGTCAGACTGTGATCAATCCTTGGGTCATTATTGGAGGGGTTGCCTCAGCTGTGTGCAACAAGTCTGAATTTATAATGTGAGCACACTCAGTGAAAAATAGTGGTCATTTTGAAGTGGCATAAAAATAATAGTTTTATCAATGATTATTTACAAAATGGCAAGGCATTTTAGTTGAGAATGTGTGTCTATGAGAGAGGAAGAAGAGGGAGAAAGGATGTTAATTTCAAATTGCATGAATGTGTCATGCATCGTAAGAAGGTGCCCACTTCAGCTGGTCTGTATTTTAAGGCTAACTATTTCACAGGCCGGATGGAGCGGTAGCTGGAGATGTGCTGGTGCTGACCAAACCTCTGGGAACCCAAGTTGCAGTCAATGCTCACCAATGGATTGAACAGGTTGGCAGGGACACACTAGGTTTATCTCACGTTTTGTCAAAAGTACACATAATACTATCTTGGTCAAAGTATGGCTTAATGTTAGACTTGTAGTGTTTCATTATGTACATCTCACTAATTCTAGCCAAAGTGGTGGGACAAAGTGAAAGATGTTATCACTACTGAGCAAGGTTAGCCGTGTAAATTATTAGTAGGCGAAATGCATGCACTTTGGTACTTGTACATGTATAATGTTCTGATAGATTATGCATTTAATATAGCTCCATAGTGCAGTGTACATTAATTTCTCTTCATATACTAGTTGAAGAGGCATACATGGCTGCAACGTACTCCATGGCAAGACTCAACAGAACAGGAGCTAGACTTATGCACTCTTACGGTACATATATGTAATCTACTGATAATGCTGCTGAAATTACACCATTCCGTCACGGCAGAATATTATGTATGCCTTCGTGTACAGGGGCACATGGTGCTACAGATGTCACTGGATTTGGACTTTTGGGGCATGCAAGGAACCTTGCTTCTGCCCAGAAAGCTCCAGTATCATTTAAAATCCACACCCTCCCTGGTAATGTTATTACTAGCACATGTCCATGTGTAAATACACAAATGTGGTTCTGCTTCAGTGCTGGACCATATGAATCGTGTTGCCTCCATCATTGCCAGCAGAGGACTCGATTTCAAGCTAAAGGAAGGTCTGTCCGCTGAAACATCAGGTAAAACCTACACACCAAGTTAACATCTCATCTTACAGTGTCAGGGATTATGTAGTCTCCAATATATCACGGTTTTCTCAAGGGGATGTACGTAGTATAAGGGCTAAATTTATAAACCATGTTATATACTACAAATGGAAAATTATACTGGGTCCTATGAAGAACATTTGTGCACTGCATAGCTAGGTCCATACACCAGCTGTTGAACCTTAAGGTGTGGCATGAAAATAAATTTTATGCTGCATAAAAACACCAGTAACGGCGCACTGCCCTAGGGACACAATCACTGTTAGGTGTTGATAAGCGAGAATGCCACTGCATGATGATACATCCGTGTTGCCTCGCATGTGCTTAATCCAGCTCTTTGTACCGTACCATCCTCTTGTGTATAGGTGGCCTGCTGATCTGCCTGCCAAAAGAGAATTCTGCTGCATTTTGTGAAGAACTCCAGGTTAATAGTATATAATGCTGTGTATTCTACACTTATCATTGCAAAGCAATGTAGGACTCAGCACTTCCTCCCTCTGCCCAACGTTTATGACTTAAACCCTTGTGTTCCTGTTTTTATTATAGTCATGTAAAATTTCATCAGGTGTTTCTATGTCACTACTTTTACTGATCAAGACACCTGTGCATTGTGTAGCAGTTGCTTACTGAACCATAATAATGTATAGGCTAGTAACTCCAGCCTAAATGTAGTGTTGCTTCACTATAGTGTGATAATGTTCAACCCCTAGTACACAAGGACGATGTCCCATTCAGATATTCTACTGCCAAGCAACTGGTATATTAAAAACCGTTAGCAAGCCCCGGGCACAATATATAATATGCCAAGAGCCTCCATAAGAATTTATATATAGCTATATTACTATACACATCAATTTCTGCTTATTTAAGGAGATAACCATGGCGTACAAAGGGTTATTAAGTTACTGATTACTACTCTCCCAAACTATGTCTCTTATTCCGACAGAAACTTGATGGAGCTCCATCATGGATCATTGGAGATGTGGTAGCAGGTGAATAACACAAATACAACACATTGCAGTTGACAAGCGAATGCAAAGCTGAGTGGTGCAGTAGAGGGTGACCTATAAACCGCTCGTGCACGTGATGTTTGCACATTAATTGTTGTCAGACACACACGGAAATTGTGCTAGGTGGGCACACTTTGCTCATTACATAAGTGCATTTTAATGAACAAACACATGTCTCACATTGCACGTAACAATGGTGTAGAAGTGTTGTTGGTAGGCCACTGAATAGGGAGGGTCTGTGGCCTGGAGACAAAGTCACTGAATTCAGATATTCTATATATTGCCTGGGTGGTTCATGGGTGAATGTTTCACAACTCTCAGCGTTGTATGACTGTGGGTGTCCATGTGCACTCTTTCTTCACCAACATAGGTAACAGAACAGCTGAAATACTGTCAGATGCAAAAATCATTGATGTGGACAATAGTCAATAGTTCCTTCACCACCTATGCACTATTATAGTTTAGATAACATGGAATGATGCTAGCTAGAGAAACAGAACATCTGTTCTAGCTGGTAGATGATAGACTATAATGTCTCTCATGTTACACGACTACTGGTTTCCAATATGGTAGATATTTGCGGTCCTTTCACGGAAAAAGTGTTTTCTGAAATCGGCCACAATTATGGTGTTTTCTCAGCAAAATCTAGTTTGCCACTGAATCAAGACGTTTTCACCACACATAAGAATAGATGTTTTATGTCGGCATAACCGTAACATCTCCAGTCCAAATGATGTGTTTATGATCTCGCCGGCTTTGGAGTAAGGGAGTACTCTCAGTTTGGATAAGAGCTCATTTCCACTGCCTGCCATCTGTAACTCCCATAGCACGAAGCAAGAGGTGGTAGGTTCGAATCCCACTGGAAGAGTTTCCTTTCCATTCTACCTTATACTTTCTGCCTGTGACAATCACTGTTATTTCAGTGTACCAGGTGTGAGATTGGGAGCGAGACGGCCACACACTACTATTATCAAGACAGAACCTGCAGAGCCTTGCAGGGCCAACGCTGTTCATTCATTGTCCTTCCTCACCCAGCATCTTTCCATCATAATGTAAACGCACGGAATGGTGCTACTAGCTCTAGAGAAACAAGTTGCCTATTCCAGTTTGTATATATTACACTACGGTAATACTGTGGTGTTATGTCAGTTATTTTGGTGAGTAATGTAAGCCTGTGAGCACCGGCACAGGTAGCTTTACCTGCCATAATAAGAACCTTCCAGTACAGTTGTTGCGCGTTTCTGTGCGGTGTTTCCACATGCATATTTATCACACGTTCGGGCATTCTGTGCGGTGTTTCCACATGCATAATTATCGCACATGTCGGGCATTCTGTGCGGTGTTTCCACATGCATGATTACCGCACATGTCGGGCATTCTGTGCGGTGTTTCCACATGCATATTATCGCACATGTCGGGCATTCTGTGCGGTGTTTCCACATGCATGTTTACCGCACATGTCGGACATTCATTTTGCACCATGAGCAGATATGAAAAGTGAAATGCACATTGATAATAATGAACTACGTGGTATCATCTTTTCTTGAACTGTCTGATGTGTGCTACAGCGTGATTTATCTCTTTCTTACACTGTGACTGTCTGGTGTCAAAACTGTCAGTGTTATCCATGCTGCCTTCATAGACGAAAAAGAAACGTGTACAGACGTGGTCTGTGTTAGGGCACACCCAGATGTCATTATGCTTCTTTAAGTCCTTGGAAGTCACCACTGCAGAAAGTCTACACTCATAACTCCACACGGCAGTGTGACATACCTTCACAGAGGGCTAGGCACTTGAGGTTTGTTTTATTGGCTAGACACTGCACATCCTGTCTGTGTCTTGTTGTTGGCTGTGGTGGTATTATGCTTATTACATACAATAGTTACAAAAATCGATATCCAAAAATTGCTCAGTGAAATTGATACACAACATCCACACAGCATATTTTAGTTACATGCTCATCACTAGGGTCATCATACTTAAGAGCAAATTTAGTGTTACCTCACCTGCTGTGCAAGGCCAATGGACTATTATGTTTTGGATTGGGCCCAATTTGTGTACTGACATAGAGGTTGCTCTGTGATTGCAGAGTTACATGTTTTCTGCCTGTCATGTCACACGTCATACGTCCTCATACACTTATCTCAGTAACATTGAAATCACTCTGTTCAATCATACCATGTAGAAAAGTCCGCCTGTGTAACCAAAGGATACTGTGGAGACTGGACTTAGGTAGATTCCTTTACCATACGCTGCTCCATGTAACTAAAAGGACGAGAAAACAACACTGTAATATCAGGCTAATCGTGTCTATTTAAAGCATTACTAACAGTGTGTTACTAACAGTAAAGAACAAACTAGTAACTCTTGTCTGAACATTATGTTGTTACTTTTTATCGCTGTGACTTAGCTTAGCTTAGTACATGAACAGGATGATCATGTTTTTTGTGGATGAATGATTAACTTAATGCCAGAATGATTTTAATGATGTATTGTATATTACAACAACCAACTTGGAACTTTGTTCCTGAAGCATTCACAAGGCTTTTTCTCATGATGCTGTGCCAGTTTTCGATGCTGGAACCACTGGGCAATGAAACCACAGGTTAACAGTATAAGTGAATCATGAATTTTCATCTCACTGGAAAGCATAAGTACTTCCATGTTTTTGTTTTGCTTGTTGGAAGGCTACTTCTTTTGCCGGAGGACTGCTAATCAGCAGAAACTGATGCTTCGTCTTCATTGACTTTATTTGCTGCCAGGGAATGAAATGTATAGAACACTAACACACACACACACACACACACAAGGCCCATTACATCATATCACGAACATGAAACCCCTCTCAGGGTTTAACAAATTTGTAATGTTGAGATCCTAAATATACACTTCAATTGCTCTCTGAGTGAAAGGCACTGAAAAAATGTTTTTGAACTTAGCAGATGACATGCCTTGGGGCATATCACAAAGGTACATTTGTAACTCAATATCCTTAAAACCACAAATATACACAGCAGTGTATCTCACTGAACCATTGGTATTACACGTGATGTAACTATTTACCCTTGGTTCAGGTAGCAGGACGATATGAGCTCTACATGTGGCGATAATCCTGCACAGAACACCAGTAATCACAACTTTACCCAATACCCTCTAATGACACAAATAATACAGATCTTATGGTGTCATGCACCATTGCAACAGCGGGAAGGCCAGGGGGTCCGTTTCGTCCATCTTCTGCTTGAGATTAATACAGTCACGAGTCTGAGTAGCAATACCACATTCACACCACATAAAATGTTTCCGATTATGTCTAACCTCCAATGACACTCTCGTGGACACTACCTCTTTTATCACCCTCTTCATCAGATCAAAGTCTTTTTTCTGTAATGAAAAGCACTAAAGTGCAAACCCTCGGCGAACTGCGCATGCACTATACTGCTAATTGATGGGCTGGGCTATTAGTAGTATTCGTTTACTCGTGGTCTCCCGCTAGTAGTGCGTGGAGAGTCTGACATGGGCTAGCTACAGTAGTAGATAGCATATGCCGTTTGTTGTGATTTCCTGAGCCCGCAAGATACACAGAGCGAGTGGATCAGGTCGCGGTAAGCCCAGTGCGATTATGCATATTGGCTTTTTTCGCTTGTTTTCACGGCATATTTTTCGAATGCAGTCGTTTCAGGAAAATCACCCTTTTATTTTTCTGGCTCCCGTAGTTCTGAAGCCGTTGGTATCGCTAATAGGCCGCCTCGTAGCCTGTAGTGCCAGAATAAGCGTCGACACACAGACAGACAAACCAACTACTATAACCCTTGCTGCGTATGCATGCCCCAAGAGCATTAATTATTGCTGACATAGTATGTGAGCTTCTTGGCACTTATTGGTTACCACAACTACTCATGCATAGAGCACTCGCCTAGAGAGCAGGGTTCGAATTCCACCTAGGGCAACTCTTCTTCTTCCTTGAAAACAAAGAGTTGTTCTAGGTGTAGTTTACTTGCTTGCCTTTCTACCTCGCTAGCTAGTTATTGACACATTCACTAACGTTGTACGTACACACACCTGTGGATCAAGGGCAAGAACATTGACATTGCTGGGGTCCACGATGGAGGGGAAGGGGTCAAGAATGACCGCAGCACGAGGACTGTGAGCAGCCGAGTTAGCCATGGCAATCAGTAGATCCACTACCTGAGGAAGAGATTAAAATGCAAAAATGTAAAAAGCATGCACATTCAGTACCGTTATGCAATACATATAAACCGTAAGTTACACACTTGCACACGAGGGAGACTTCACTTGCGAGTTCTGAGTCAGAGCCAGCAGTAGACTCACAACAGGCAGACAACCGCCGCGTCTCAACGGCCTCTCCGCTAGGGAAAAAAGCACATTGTCAACCGCCAGGAGGGGAAGAGATCTCTAGGGATGCAGGGGCAAGGGTTGATGGTGGTGAGGTGCAGGAGGTCAGGGAAATGGTGGCGAGGTGCGGGAGGTAAGGGAAAATGGTGGCGAGGTGCGGGAGGTCAGGGAAATGGTGGCAAGGTGCGGGAGGTAAGGGAAAATGGTGGCGAGGTGCGGGAGGTAAGGGCTGATGGTGGTGAGGTGCAGGAGGTCAGGGAAAATGGTGGCGAGGTGCGGGAGGTAAGGGCTGATGGTGGTGAGGTGCAGGAGGTGAGGGAAGTGACAGGTTCAGGGGTGGTGGGCGCATGGGGAGAGGAGGCAAGGGCTGATGGTGGTTAGGTGCAGGGGACGAGGGAATTTGCGGGTACAGGGGGGACTCTGGATGGGACATCCAGGAAGAGGGGATCGGGGATGTGGAGGGGGGGTGGGTAGGGAGAGGGAGGGTTCGGAGATCTCTGCGGCAAAAGGGTTGATGGTGGTGAGGTGCAGGAGGTCAGGGAAATGGTGGCAAGGTGCGGGAGGTAAGGGCTGATGGTGGTGAGGTGCAGGAGGTCAGGGAAATGGTGGCAAGGTGCGGGAGGTAAGGGAAAATGGTGGCGAGGTGCGGGAGGTCAGGGAAATGGTGGCAAGGTGCGGGAGGTAAGGGCTGATGGTGGTGAGGTGCAGGAGGTCAGGGAAATGGTGGCAAGGTGCGGGAGGTAAGGGCTGATGGTGGTGAGGTGCAGGAGGTCAGGGAAATGGTGGCAAGGTGCGGGAGGTAAGGGAAATGGTGGCGAGGTGCGGGAGGTAAGGGCTGATGGTGGTGAGGTGCAGGAGGTCAGGGAAAATGGTGGCGAGGTGCGGGAGGTAAGGGCTGATGGTGGTGAGGTGCAGGAGGTGAGGGAAGTGACGGGTTCAGGGGTGGTGGGCGCATGGGGAGAGGAGGCAAGGGCTGATGGTGGTTAGGTGCAGTGGACCGGGGAATTTGCGGGTACAGGGGGGACTCTGGATGGGACATCCAGGAAGACGGGATCAGGGATGTGGAGGGGGGTGGGTAGGGAGAGGGAGGGTTCGGAGATCTCTGCGGCAATCTTAGACTACCTGACAAGATCCATCCGTCAAATCGCCCCTCTTTCTGATCGTCAACTGGCAGAGGAGGAGTGGATTTCATTCACGAATACTGTAGAGGATCTGACGTTCACTCTCGGGTCTTATCAGACAGCAACACAGGACCCATCCAACATCGACCTGGAAGATACGGAACCAGAGATAGACTAATTCAGCTGCCACTCGACCTACTGTGCCAACTAATTCTGTCTCATCCAGTGACACCCCCGCCTCAACAGACTCTCCCCTGTCACCCCTGCAGTGTCAACCGCAGCGACATCGACGACATGACCGTACAGAGAGGAGGAGATGCACCAGGGAAGCAAAGAAGCTGCAAAAGCTTTCAGGAAGAAATGCATCCGACTGCTCCCAGGAGACCAGTCACCTCCCTGTACTATCTCCACCGACGCGCTGACAGCTTTCTTCTCCACACCAGCCCTGGCTGAGACTGGAGCCCCTCCCCCTGAGTTACCTCCCACGCTACAGCCCGGCTGACCCTGACAATATATTGTTCAGTGTCTGTCCGGAGGAAGGTGCTGGGCAACTGAAGGGACTCCCCCCTCAACTCTGCCTCCCTGGTCCCTCTCAAATGGGCCAACAAGTTAGATACAGACTTGCGGCAAATCCTCAAACGTGCCCTCAACCTACCTGCACGCACCTTTTTCTATGCCGCATGCAAGCATGGAGGTCTGGGGCTCTATACCGTCGGTCGAAGACCAGGCCCACTGCACTCGAGTGGTTCGGGCGACAAAGTGCTTGACCAGCAGAGATAAACTGGTCAGTGATGTGGCCTGGTCGCAGCTACATCGGACTACCCAAATCCGACAGGGAACCAGAGTGACAACGTCAGAGGAACTGGAGTCGTTCGTCAATAGTGTCCAGAATCCAGGGGAGTCAAGATCGAAGGATGTGCAAAGTCTATGGAGCTCAGTGCGGAAATTTCTCCAACATACCGCGGCTCGACTCTGTGTCAAAGATGGACTCTATTATGTCCACCACCAATTAGCATACAGGTTAAAGCTCGGAATGTTCGTGAAATGAACCCTACTGCTGCCGCAATTGATTAAACAAGAGAAGAACTACCTACTTACCTTCCCAAAGTAGCAGTTCTTGACAGGCATTATAACCAACTAGACTTGTGGAAAGCTATATATATGCCTTTGCACTTCTTAACTGGCAAGCTGCAGCTAAGAAACACTCCTTGTACGGCCATCTTCTGCAGCCACAGAGAGACTTGTTTCACTAGTCAAGACATCTTTGAAAGCAACAAGCGTGTCTTTACAAGAATGCTTGAATACTACAGGCGATGAACTGAAGTTTTCAAATATACACTGAACGTTTTCTGTTTCAAATGCGCTTTTCAACGTGACGACAATAATAATGGCAAAACATAACGGTCATCAGGGTTGGACCTGTTGGCTGCAGCAACATCAGCCACTAACCGAGTATCCGCCTCTCTCCTCCCTCCATCAGCGTAAACTAAAGCGGTCCTTGAGCTAACAGAAGCAGAGTCAAACCCAATTCAGCACCTAAACTCCAAACCAAAGCTGCCAGGCACTGACATAAAAGGTTGGCTGGAGTGCAGAATGGTGGCTCTCCTCTTGATAAGATTCCTGCCAAATTGCCGGTGCTCTTGGCATATCGGACCACAATTCTGAGGGTGGCCCATAACTAGGAGATGGCAAACAGGGCAAATATTGCCACAGACACCCCAGAGAACTTTTTTTTAAATGGGAGACGGCATGAAATGAGCAATTCTCTAAACAATAGGGCCAAGTGAAAGAATGCAATTCAGTTTTCATTCTTAGCAACATTTTCTAAATTTAGCCCTTATTGTCTGCCACATCCAGTCTCCTTTCAGCTGGAGTCGAAGAGATCAAATCTCATAAGTGAAAATGACAAAAAGAATAGATTTGCAGAGGCCTATACTGTGTCAAAGACTAGAGTCCTTATTCAGGAATTGGAAAGGAAATGTGGGAGCAGAAAAAGGCTCATCACCAAACAATCGGACAGACACCAGTCAGGAAGAAAAGGCGGCGTCTAACTCTCATCACACTCTCGGCACACTACAGACCATGCTTTGTACATGCCCTGAAAGAGGCGGCCATGACAAGCTGTTGTAATGATGAATCATAGTCACCAACTAACGTTCTCTTGCCTCTTCTCCTCTCATGGTCGCTTACAATCACCAGTACCGCCGGGACATGCTTGCCCGAAAAGATCTCAACTGGTCCATATCGAACAGCTGGTTATTGTAACGAGTGTAGCATGTATGTTCACTGTCATTGTGTAATCGGTCACCACGTGATGGTCCTAGTGTTTACGTGAAATGGTTCATGTCTGATATCAGTTAGCAGTGACCAAGAACTAGCGAGCGCAAGCCCACTTGTTACATGGTGGCAGCGGTGGTCCGGGATCTCAACCGACGAGCAACCTTTGAGGCCCGTGAATCCACCACCAAGACCGGACTGCGTCACTGACAGGATGGCCGCCAACTATATTCCACCCCCCATCCCCGGTGGAAATACACGATCAGTAAGCTGCCGAAAAGTGGAAGCGGTTCAAGAATGCCTGGGCTAACTACTCACTTGTGACTGGCCTGAGCGGAAATACAGAAGCGGTCCAGGTGGCTACGTTGTTGACAGTAATAGGTGAGGAAACACATGAGGTGTTCTCTACATTCTTGGGGTGGGAGAACGAAGGGGATAAGGCCACGATAGAACCAGTGTAATGGTTTATTTTATCCCTGGATATTCTATCCGGGGGTAGTATATCCTTAGTATGTAATATCCGGGGTCCGGATATTTTATCCCCCTACCACAGTTTACACCTGTCTGCCCATGGAAGTGAAACGCCCACTAAACGCATGGTTTCTCTCACAGAAGAAAGGTACGTACCAACAACTTCTGGAGTACCTCAGAGGCTCGAGGATCGGTTCACCAGTGTACCCTCCGGAGTTCAACACCAATGACAAGCGTGGACTGCACCAACAAGCTGTGACGTTTGAAGAAGGATGGGATACTTTACCACTCGTCAAAAGGTTCCCAGAGGAAGACTCTTCGTCGTGTGATTGTGGATCCGGCAGAGAAGACTAGGCTGATTCGAGCTGTCATGATGGCATCGACGGAGGTCACTTCTGGGCGTGATAAGACCCTGAGCAAGGTATATACTACTGTAGTTGATTTTTCTTGTCCTGGTAGCTAGTATTTTAGAGTTTCCTCTGTTATGCAGCTTCCAACTTACTGGTGGAAGGGGTTGGCTAATGATATCACTGAGTACTGCAAGAGATGTGATGTTTGTCAACATGTCAACAGTCGCCTAGGAAAGGCCAAAGCAGAGCTTCACCCAATCCCAGTAACTGATGTGTGGAAACAGATTGGAATAGATCTAATCGGTACTGTCACGGAATATTTGGACCCCTAAAATAGCTGGAAAAATATTTCAGGTCTGCACATAAAATACGGGTTCCCACGTTAATGGGTCCCCCCACCCAAAGCGCATTTACCAGTCTTGTGCACCTGCACTTGCACCTGCACCTAGGCTTGTACCAGGAAGGTTCACACGCCTCTGTCGGAGACAGGCCTGTACTAGGAAGGTTTACACGCTTCACCACAGTAGAGAGGTTCAATTTTTTATGCCAGCACATTGGAGGGCTACCAAAGACCAGGACCTGACTAAGTTCACACCGTCACGAACGAGCATCACTGCGTATGGTGGTGCAGCACTCCCTGTTGTGGGCACGGTACTCTTGAGTGTGTGGCGGGAAGAGTACCACTGCCGTCTTGACTGCAAGCTTGTGGACACGCAGGACATCCGTCCACTACTAAGGAATGCCTCAGAATGAAAATCATATCCTATCTCGACAACGACCAACTGAACCAGCGTATAGTGCCTGTGTATGCTGTAGAGGGACCAGACCCACTCTCGATTCAGCAACTGACCAAGAAGTACCCCCCAGTTTTTGGGGGTGGCATGGGTCGTTTGCAGGGTTAATACCACATTCGACTGGATGAGATGATTCCGCCAGTCCAGCAGTGTGGCATATCCCAGTGGCCCTGTGAGAATCGCTTCAGCACACACTCACAGACCTTACCCAGCGAGGGATCATCTCCCAAGTGCAGGAACCCACACTCTGGATTAGCTCCATGGTTATCGTCCCCAAAAAAGATGGCTCTCTTCGAATCTTCCTCCACCCAAAGACCTCAATCGTGCCATTCAGCAGGAACCCTACCCACTGCCGATCATTGAGGATGTCGCCACGCAACTTCATGGGGCCAAGTTCTTCACTATCCTTGATGTGAGCAAGGGATTTGGAACATAGAGCTCGATGAACCCTCATCATTCCTGACCACATTTCACACTCTGTTCGGCAGATATGCATCATGTGCCCTCTCCCCTGCAGAAACACGCCCCGCCAAGATAAAAAAGGAGCTACTGGCCATTGTTTTCGCATGTGATCATTTTGAGGCATACATCTACGGCAGAAGAGAGGTGAACGTGGAGTCGGACCACCAACCGTTGGAGATGATCATGAAGAAGCCACTCAACAGCGCCCCAAACCGGTTACAGTGAATGCTCATTCAGCTCCAGAAGTACAACCTGACAGTAAGGTACAAAAAAGGAAGGCTTGTGCGCCTTACCGATACACTCAGCCGTGCATATTTGGAAGTCCACTGCTGCACGGTGGCAGCCGAATGTGCCGACATTGACCACACGTCTGTCCTGGCTCTTCCTCCAGAGAGAGTGCAGCAGTTCCCACATGCCTCAGCAGATGACCCTGTCCTTCTGGAGCTCCGCCAGACCATCCAACAGGGCTGGCCTGACAGTAAGTCGAAAGTTCCAAATGCTCTCCATCTCCACCATGACTTCCGAGATGAACTGACAACGGAGGGTCACTTGGTGTTCAAAGGACCGCTAGTTATGGTACCTGCAGCATTGCGAAAGGAGAAGATGGCCACATGCCATGAGACAGACATCGGCATCGAAGGCTGTATCAGCAGAGCCAGAGATATAAAATAATACATCTCCAAGTGTGAGACATGCATGATGCACCGGCCAGCCACACTACAATTTCACAGCTAACAATGTGTAAAATGCATGAAAAAAGAGAGAAAAAAGTTTGATTTTCCCCCTCTAACTTATGATTGCTGTATCTTGTTTCTTTACAGAAAGGGAGATGTAACAAGTGTAGCATGTATTATGTATGTTGACACATTCACCAAGAGAGCGAGGATCCTCCCTCTGCACAGCACAACCCTGCCCCTCTCATATGGAGCTGGCTTCACATGCCAGTCGGATAGGAGGACCCGTTCAAGCAGACGACTGAACACCAGATTTGGCACAATTATAACGACAACCGGTGCCTTTATTCGAGTTGTTGGTTCCTCCATGTTTGCCAAGATTATCTCGG